GCTGAGTCTTACCTGCTCTGAGTCCTGTTGCGATCTGGCTAATGGTGAGTCTACCAACTTGGCTTTGTTACGGCCATGTGTGCTATCTCTTGTATCAATTTGTGTACATATACCACATATACACTCGATGCTATACTCTTTGCACTTGAGGGTTTGTACGCGCGGCTCTTTGATGGCAATTTTAGAATGGAGTATAATTTCCAACACTTCTGGCTTGGCACTTGAAAGTTGCTGTTCGTATTTGGTGTGCGTTTTTATTAGTAGCTGGGTTTTTGTTTGGTCAAAAGCCCACACGCACACACACGCACACGTACACGCACACGCATACACGTACACACCAACGCATGTATAGAGCGTTCGCAGTCGCACGCACACTTCGACGCTAGCTCACCGTCTCTCACACACACAGGCACGCCACACACCTTGACGCTAGAGTATTAGAAAGCATTGCAGAACGCGGCGCCTTCAAACGCTGCTTGGCTTGACAGACTGCTTCAGAGTGCTGAGGCAGCTTCCGCGTTTTGTGTCCTGTCCACGAAACGGCTCAACTCGAACTGTGACGACGCTCAGCTGCTGCGGCCACAGCCAGTCAAGTGCTTTGCTGACGGCTTCGCTTCGGCCTCTCTTAGTGGCGTGCGCTCTCCCACGCACCTTCGTGCCATTGGAAAGTCGTCCCGTGTTTGTGTGTGCCGTTCGGCTCGCCTCGTCTCGTCTCGTCTCGTCTCAGTCTCGGCGTGAAACCAGCTGGCGCAGCATTAAAAAGTAATATCAATTTCCACCTTGCAAACAGCGTCGCAACGCGAAAGCAACAGCTAAGCGATTTCCCAGGATGCAGCAGCGCGTCCATGTCTATGCATTGGGGCCCCGCCTCCTGCTGCCCACGCATTTGCGTTAGGTGCGCGTGCTCTGCACGTTCCGCTTTGTCTACACAGAACAGCACGCCATGTGGAGAGTTTTTTCTTTTCATAATTGTTGCATGCTAGGATATTGTATATGTTGCGTATACGCCAAGGTGAACAGCGCCTTTGGCTAACAGCGTAACCAAAGTACAATACAAATTAATATTTAATCTTAATTTGAAATGTAATTAATATTTAATATGCAATTTGAATCCATATATATTAATATTTTCTATATACTGTAATTTGATTCAATAAAATACTAAAAATAGAGAATAGAAAATAATTAATTTCTTGCTTAAATAAGTTAGTCGATAAAACGGTTCAAGTATTTCATTCCAATCTAATCAAAGTTTTGAAAAGCTGTAATTACATTTTAATTTCTCTAACTAGCCAATTTCAATGGCTGGGCAATGCGTTTGACAACTTCCACTTGGCTTTGTGTTCATTCCGTACACAAACTAAGGCACACAGTGGGACCAAAACACACACACACACACACACGCACACAAGCTCAGAAAAAAGCGCAACAGGACCAAAATAATTGCGCGTTAAACATGTGCCAAGCGCTACCAACAGCAACAGACGGTTCGTGAGCGAAAGAGCAAAAGAGACGGTGAGAGTGAGAGCGAACGAGAGCGAGAGAGAGACTGAGACGAGGGCCGAGCAGAGCCGAAGCCCGGAGAGCGCGACTGGAAATGTTCAACTGGTTGCGTTTTTGCAAGCAACAGGATATGCTGGAAGCCTGCAAAAACATCGACAAGCACAAGAAACATCGCACACAAGGCAAACACAATGGCAACAACAGCAGCGACCAAATTGAGGGGAAAGCCAGTTGACTGGCTGACTGGTTGGTTGGTTGGCTGGTTGGCTCGGTCGACTGGGCCGCAGCGGGTGGACGGGGTGCCAGGGAGGCTCGTAGGCTGGCAGTTGGGCCTACAAACAGTCGCGTGCTTAAAGCCTCAATACCAAAACAATTTGAGAGCGCACAATAAAATTGAATGGGCGCAAAGAAAGGACGAAAGCAGCAACAAAAACAAAAAGAAAGAAAAAGCAAAAACGAAGAAAAAGTGAGGAGGCAGCAGAAAAATGTGCCAACGTATAAAAAAAGGAAGACGAAAGAAAAGAAATGTTGCGTGTGAAAGGAGCAGCGCCTGTTGAAGGACGAGCGGCCATTAGAAAGCTGCAAAAGCGAATTCACATAGCGTTCGCAGTGTTTACAGGTAGCCAGCGAGGGTGTGTTTGTCTCTGCTCCCGTTTGAAGGACATGGCAAAAGGTACGCAGCGTGTGTCGATTAAGATGCTGAGCCATTGTTGTTGTTGTTGCTGTTGTTGGGATTGCCTTTGGGTCGTGACAGACAGCGAGACGCCTGAGCCGGAGCCGGACCCGCACCTTCGCCCGTACTTGGCGACCCAGTGAAGACCCAAAGCCTTGTAGCGCTGGCTGTCAGCTTATCAATTTGTATGCCTGTAGATATTTATTTATGAATATCCTTTGGATGCCTCAGCCACGGCAGTGCTCGCGCCTTTATGCCCGCCACTCGCACGAAATGCCGCGTAATCCAGGCGCATACCTGAGGGTCGCTGCGTCCATTCAACCATATTCCGAGACACCGTTTCTCCACATTCGCCATTTCCGCCATTCTCGCACATAAGGCGCATTTATGTATCTCCTTTGCTCGCTACTTTGGCCATGTCTGGGCCTGTCTGCCATTTTGGCGAGGCCTTTCTTAATTTCATTTTTATTGCAGATTGATTTTTTCAGATTAAGTTTGTTCCGCTCACTGCTTATGGCGAGCGATAGCTCCCTGCCCCAATGACAGCCTCAAGTTTGTTGTTAACAAAAAACTGTTGCCTACTTTTCAGGGCCAGGCCTAATGAAATATTAGTCCACTTGAGCTGAGCGTTGTTTTAAGCAAACTTCTGCTTCAATTAGCAATGCAAGCAGTTCCAGCAAAAACCATAGCCAACATGCAAACAGTAAGCCAGCTGCTGCCACGCCATCACGATCCCCTCACGGCGAACAAACCAGAAACTCAAAGTAAAAGTAAAACATTTTCATGCAAATGTTTTTGTTTAACCACGAAATATTTTTAGTATTCAACACACACGCCACCCGTTTTCTCGCTCTCTACCTCTGCCTCTCTCGCTCTGTTGTTGCCCCTGTCTTTCTCTTGCCCACATACAGAGGCACGCGTGAGAGTCCTGTGGCAAAAGTTTTTACTACTCGCAGCTTACAACAAACAAAATCAAACCGAGCGCAACAAAGTACACAAATATTTACCTATGTGTGTGTATACACATGCATATACAAGTGTGTGTGCTTGTTTGTGTGAATATCTGGTCAGTGTGGAAAGCCATAAAGGCAACGAGCAAATCGGTCATTTCAGCGCATTGCGACACTTTCAATAGTCACGCCCCAAAGTATGCAGCAATAAATTGAGAATTGACAATCGATCCGCGGAGAGTCAATTGCCTGCAATTGATTTGGCTGCAAATAGAGAGCTGAGCACCATGCTATATTATATTATATATATTATCTAAAATATTTACTTTTTTTTATTTATTTAAGTTAATGGAGAATATGATTGCAATAAATCGTTATATGCTGACAAATTGTGGTTCGCCATTCCGTATTGAGAAAACTCCAGAGGCGCTTAAATCTAATGGATGCCATAAATATCTGCTCAACTGCTTATTGACTTAGTGGGAAGCTGAGTGAGTGAGCCACTCGCCCTATTTATGATAGGGCAGCGTTTATTTCAATTGCACTTCATCCCTTTGCCAGTGTCTCTACTTTTTCTATACGCAACCTTCTCCATTTCCAAGGCTTCAGTTGGCACGCTTATTTACCCAGCAAATACATCTCTCTCTCTCTCTCTCCCTCTCTTTCACTCCTTCCCTCTCGATATATATGTTTTTTCCTCAGAGAAATTGATCTAAATTTCGATTGCAATGGCATTCGGTATTCATTGCTAATTGCCTGTCATCAAATTGGATTAAAATTCTATTAAACTGTCAGCCAAGGCAAATGCAATTGAAGCCGTCGTCGAGTGCAGCGCATAAAACGGTCAAAAAGGCTGCCATGTGCCTGGGCCAGCTGAAGGCTTAAGCTGATTTCGCATTTGCCATGACATTCAATTAATGCAGACCCAACCAAAAGAGCAGCTGTTCAGGGCTTGCCCACTGCCTCGTAGCCCTTTCCTGATGGCAGACCAACAATTACATTAAATATATGCCAAAACAGAAGATGTGCTAATGAAGCTAAGGGCGGCTATTATTCCCAAAAAGGAAAAATGAAGAGAAAAGTATACGGCGGGGAGCAAACACATATTTTATACTAGATGCACTGCTAAATATGCTGCAGTTAGTCAATGCTTTAGCAGATAAAACGAAATGGAAATACATTTGATTAATGGAATAAATTTGTTTAAGCTTGATTCAGCTTGAGAAATTGCTAATTTAGTTAAGTGCTAATTAAATCCTTTAGATGCAAGCTCCAGTCAGAAATATGTTCAAATGCTTTGTTAACTAAATGGCGTAATACCCACCCTCACACCCCACCCGTTCGCCTAGGTGTTGTTTGTAATAGACAAAGCAGCAACAAACAGCGCTTCATTACAATTTAAATTTGGCATTTTAGCTGCCGCCAGGCAGACAGAGCTTAATTAGTACAATTCGGGTGGCAGAACTAGTGTCCTTAGCTTAAGCCTTAGACCGAGTCCTCGCCTAAGACTGGCGACAACTCCAGCCGCTCGCAAATTATTCAGTGCAAATAGTTTGGCAACGGCTGGGCAGCACAGCCAAAATCGCGTTCTGTTTGTGGCAGCTTCTGTTTCTCTTTTTGTTTTGTTTTTTTGTTGCTTTACTTTTTGTGTGTTTACAGCAAAGTTAATTGAATTTTCACGCCAAAAAGCGGCTGGCCTGGGCCGCGTCTTGGGCCTGTGGCTATTGAGCCAGATCGTGGTCGTGGATGCCGGTTCGAGGGGAATCGGGGCAGGTGGGAGGCTGGAAAGCTGAGATGCTCAGAAGCTAGCTTCTAATGCTTTATTTGACATCATAATTAAGTCAAAGTAATTCGAATAGAAATTGCTGTCAAGTGGCTCATAATTTATTAGGCTATGTGGCAGTTTGCATCTTTGTGGGCTGCCAAAGGTAAATTCATATACCTAACCGGGGTGCTATGTGCCTAAGAATGTCATTGAAGAATCGATTTGACATTAGACGTTTACTAAGACAGTGGCAAAAGTGGAAAACTCGCAAGGTGGCAACTCTGAACGTTTCTCTAATGGATATTCCTGACAAGTCCGAGGGTGATCGCAAGCTCTATCGTGCCGTCAATCTATCGAATGGCGTGCGCGCCATGCTCATTTCGGATCCCGGTCCCGGCGATATGTCCGCTTCTGCTTCGCAGGCGTCCGTGGCCCACTCGAGGGCCTCGAGATCTGGCAGCTCCGACTCATCGCTGGAGCAGTACCAGGGCAAACTGGCTGCCTGTGCGGTGCTGATGAGCGCCGGCTCGTTCTACGAGCCACGCCAATACCAGGGACTGGCGCATTTCTTGGAGCACATGATATTCATGGGATCGCAGAAGTATCCGATCGAAAATGCCTTTGATTCGTTTGTGACGAAGAGTGGGGGCTTCACCAATGCCCACACAGAGAATGAGGATACGTGCTATTACTTTGAGGTGGAGGATCAGCATCTGGACAAGACTCTGGACATGTTTATGCATCTGATGAAGGAGCCCCTCATGTCCATCGATTCCATGGCACGTGAGCGATCCGCGCTCCAGTCGGAGTTCGAGCAGACCCACATGATTGACGAGGTGCGTCGCGATCAGATTCTGGCGGCCATGGCCACCGAGGGCTATCCGCATAGCACCTTCAGCTGGGGCAATCTCAAGTCGCTGCAGGAGAACGTCGACGATGACCACTTGCATCGGACACTTCATGAATTTCGGCGCAAGCATTATGGGTCCAATCGCATGACCGTGTGCCTGCAGGCACAGATGTCACTGGAGGAGCTAGAGGCACTCCTTGTGCGGCACTGTGCGGGCATACCACAGAGCGAGGAGCCGCCACTAGATCTCTCCAAATTCAATTATAGGAATGCCTTCCGGGAGAAGTTTTTTAAGGAGGTGCTGCTGGTGCAGCCTGTGGAGGATGTTTGCAAGGTGGACATCACCTGGGTGCTGCCTCCCATGCGCCAGTACTACAGATGCAAGCCGGACGCATTCCTCTCCCAGCTGCTGGGCTACGAAGGTGTCGGCAGTCTGTGTGCCTATCTGCGACGTCGGCTCTGGTGCATGAGCGTAATAGCGGGCGTCGGTGGGGGAAGCTTCGACACGAACTCGATTTACTCCCTGTTCACAGTGTCCATCTATTTAACGGACGAGGGATTCGAGCACCTGGATGATGTGATGGCTGCCACCTTTGCCTGGATACGCCTGCTTAACGACTGCAACACGTTAGCACCCAGCTATTCCGAAATGAAGCAAATCGCGGACACAAATTTTCGGTTTCAAATTGAAATACCTTCCATGGACAATGTGCAGAGTATAGTGGAGGCGCTGAGATTTCTGCCAGCCAAAGATGTGCTCACCGGCACGCAGCTGTATTTCGAATACGATGAGCACGCAATAGGGGTGGTAAAGCAGCATCTAAGCGAGTTCCGGTTCAACATTATGATCTCGTCGCATATACCGTACGAGCATCTGTCGTACGATCAGATGGAGCCCTGGTTCGGAACCCATTACACAACCATCGAGATGCCCGCCAAATGGCAGGAGATGTGGACAAATCCTCCCCCGCATCCGGAACTGAGAATACCCGAACAGAATAGGTTCATAACAACTGATTTTACGATCCAATGGATACAGGCAGGCAAACCGCACGTGCCCCGACGACCCAAGGCGCTCATCAAGGACGATCTGTGTGAGCTCTGGTTTCGACAAGATGATACGTTTTTGCTTCCCGACGGTTATGTAAACCTGTACCTCATAACACCCCTGATGCGCAGGAGCCCGCAGGACTACATGTCGGGCGTGCTGTACACCTACCTGGTGGAGTTCTGCATCGCCGAGCAATTGTATCCGGCGCTGGTCGCTGGCCTGACCTATGGCCTGGACACGGCAGATAAGGGCCTGGTGCTGCGGGTCAGTGGCTACAACCAGAAGCTGCCGTTGCTGCTGGAGATCATAATGAATGTCATGCAAAACATGACCGTAGATCCCGCTCAAGTGGTGTCCTTCAAGGAGCTGAAGAAGCGACAGATTTTCAATGCCCTGATCACGGGGCGTTCGCTGAACCTAGATCTGCGTCTCACAGTCTTGGAGCACATGCGCTTCAACCTGATGCAAAAGTACCACGCGCTGGAAAACATCACCGTGGATCACGTGCAGAACTTCAAGGATACCTTTCACAAGAAAATGTACGTGCAGGGCCTGATTCAAGGCAACTTCACCGAACAGCAGGCGCGCGACATCATGAGGAAGGTCCAGAACAACTTCCGCAGCGAAAAGATCGAGAATCTGGGAGAGCAGCACAATCGGCTGGTGCAGCTGCCGCTAGGCGAGCACTTTTTACGCGTGAAAACTCTAAACGAGGACGATCCCAATACGATCGTTAGCAACTATTATCAAATTGGACCCTGCAGCCTGCGAATGGAGTGTCTGATGGATCTGGTTGATCTGGTTGTCGAGGAGCCCTTCTTCAATCAACTGCGCACAAAGGAACAGCTCGGCTACAGCCTGGGCATGTACCAGCGCATCGGCTACGGTATTCTGGCCTATATACTGAACATCAACACCCAAGAGAACAAGCACAAGGCTGAGCATGTGGAGGAGCGCCTGGAGGCGTTCCGTGCAGGCATGCCTCGCCTAATCGAACAGCTGACAGAAGAGGAGTTCGAAGACGTTCGCACAACGTTGATCAATGGCAAAAAGCTGGCTGATTATAGCCTGGACGAAGAGGTCGTGCGCAACTGGAGCGAAATAGTCAGCATGGACTATTTCTTTAATCGCACCGACATGCAAATACAAACCTTAAACGGCCTCACAAAGAAGGAAGTGCTCGACTTTCTAGTGAACTATGATAAGCACAACTTGCGTAAGCTCTCTGTACAAGTGATTGGCGCATCCTCCGTGTCCAGGGTCTCGACGACTCAGTCCATAGCCGATGCTGTGGCAGCCAGACAAGTGTCTAATACCGGCCTGGGCCGCAGGCCCGGCTCGCTGGCTATGCTGCTCGATGAGGTACAGAGAAACATATCCGAGGAGCAGCTGCTCTTCGAACAGATCGGCGATCGTATTCGCCTGGAGTTCATTGGCGACTGCGATAATCCTGCCCACATCACAGACATAAGTGCTTTCAAAAAAGACTTACACGTATATCCATTCATAAGTAGTAATCCAAAGTTTGACAAATTGTAGTGTAACGAAAATTTATAAATGTAACGTCCCCATGTAAATTTTAGTTCTGTTCAAGATAGCCAATAAAACAATCCGTCAAATGAAAACAGAAACAATTTAAATGGGAGTTCAAATTTGTAGTTGCCCTTGCCAATTTAAGCCGGGTGCATAAATTTATTTGCTCTGCCAGCTCTGGCTGTGTGTGCATGAGGCATGACACATTGCTGTGGCAACTGTTGCTGGCACATATTGTGGCAAGCAGCAGCAGCTACAGCAACAACAGCAATGCTCGTTTGGCGTTAATAATTATGGGGCGTGTCAATGCGTTCATAATAAAATATAAATTATATAAAGCAAACTTTTGTTTTTGGCTTTGCCAGCATTGCTAAAAGAGGAAGAATTTTTGGTAGATTAATTAAAATGCTCATACTCTCAGTTTGCTTTAAAGTTGCCAACTAATTAGTTTCGAGTTGAATTTCAGACACGGCAATAGAAATGCTTCAATTCCGATTGCACGAGTTGATTGCCGTTGGCTTAAAAGGATTCGACTGCTCCTCGGGTTGCTAAGCACTGCGGCTCATTATAAAAGCACATTGTGCTCTGGCACTCTCCGCACTCAAGTGTGTACTATATAAGTACATATATATGTATATATGTATGTATTTATACATCTGTCTTACTCTATGTTGGCTTTGAGCTGCTTGGCAGCCGTCCAAATTGTTCGCCATTGTTGTTGCTGTGCTGCTGCAATTTTGCGTCATATTGTTAGCTTATTTCGCTTCGCATCCGAAAATAAACTAAATACAACATCTGTGAATGCCAGTTAGCCAGTTTGCCAGTTACGCCCAGCCGAAAATGTGCCGCCCACCAATCAGGCAATGGCCGCTCCGGTCTGGGCTAATGATAAGCCTTGTTTTGTAGCCATTATTATTATTATTGCCGCTGCTTGCGGCTGGCTTTGCCATCAAGTCATTATGAGAGCGCATTATTCTGCCATTGATTCAGATTTTAATGCTCTACACGCACTGTTTGTTGACTTTAATGGTGCGCAACTTTAGAACTTGGTTCTGACTGCTCTTAACTTATTCGACAGCACCTGGAAGCTGTTAGCTGAAAGCTGGAAGCTTACAACGCATTGAGTTCACGAAATGCACTTTGGAAAAATGAATAAAGTTTTTATTTACGCAATAATTTCTTGCACAGTTATATGTATGTATGTATATATGTATATATAGTAGATGTATATCACTTGTTATATTTAATAATATAAGTTCTGTGTTTCTTTTCATGCCGTTGAAAAAAAAAAGAACAGACACAGCTTTTATGAAGTCATAGAATTGATGCACTGCATTTTATTGATTTGTTTTTGTATTGTATTTAAATTAAATTTTAAACGCAACACATAAAATGTTTAAGCCAACATTAAAGTAGATATATATATGTATATGTATATAAATTTATATATATTATGCAATTGAATTAAGCATTAAAAAAACAATAAATTTAGTTATTGATAATAATTAAATTCTGTGCGCCTGTCAGGCGCCTAACAATAAGTAAACTTTTAGCAAACTCTTTTTTTTCTTTCTTTTTTTTTTGTATTTTGTGGTTTTAAATTAAATTAATTAATGAATTGATAATAATGGAAACATTTTTTCAAGCGCATTGATGATAATGTGTTTTTATGTTAAGCATGAAATTGCATTATCGACGCACTGTCAATCAGTTGCAATTTCATGAATATCTAAATGGATTATTGCAAATGTAAACGAGTGTTAATTGAATTGTTGCTGATGCTGATGTTGATTTTGCTTATCGCCGCTGGACTTAGGGCTACATTTAAATAAAGTATATCAAGTAATTTACTTATATAAAAATATATATATATATTTATATGTATAGGCGTATATATTAGGTTTAATATTATTATTGTTGTATTTTGTTTTTTGATATTTTATATTTTGCATTTGCAGTTTAGTTTTACTCTGTCAATTGTTGAAATATGTCAATTGTTCAGTTTTATTCAAATTTCAATTTGATTTGCATTTGCGTTCTTTATTTCTATTTGCGAGTGTGTAAAACACTATAAATATGTCCGAATGCTAAGCATGCTCTCAATTTGCACTTACACTTAAACAAAATGTATTTAACTAAAATTGCTTATTCGTAAAACATTACAAATTTCGATTTTCCATTTATTTAAGTTTCAGTTAACAAGTTAGAATCTGGTTTAAAGTACGTGCCGCTCTAAAGAAATTGTTATTAAAATTTATTTTAAGTAACGGAATTTGCTCTTTCCTTGCAAAATAATTAGCTCATTGCGTTTAAATAATTGGCATTAAATGAATTACTTTAATTGATTTAATTAAATTTAGTTTCATTTTTCTTTTTCGACTACTTTAAAGGCTTTTTCTTTCCTTGTAGGAAATACTTTTCAAATTGTTTACAATAATTTTTTAATTTGATGTAATTAAATTAGTTTCTATGATTCTTTTATTATTATATTTTAGTTTAATTTCATTTTAAATAGAACTTAAAACAAAATTCTTGAATGTGTTTTAATTGTTTTCCGTTTTTTCTTTTCTTTTTCTTTAGCAATGACAAAACATTTGTCGCATATTTTTTGTTTTTTTGTTTTTTTCTTGCGTTTCACTTGCTCATCTGAATCAAATCTCATTGCTGAACAACAATGTCAATCATCAATCATCAATCATCATTATTATCATAATCATCCGTAAATCATCTCATTCATGCTCTCACTTCTCTCGCTCGCTCTCTCGTACTCTCTTTCTCTCTGGTAGACTTTTAGTTAGATTTCACTCGCGATATTTTCAAATTGGAATGACCTTAATTAGAAACATGTACATTTTTTTTTTATCGAGCTTTACAACATTTTTTCTTATGTTTTTCTATGTATAAATATTTTTAGTTTGTTTCATGCGTTTTCCAACACATTTTGGCTGCTTTATTATAAAGTTTAGTGTTTTTTTTTTTTTGTTTGTTGCTGCTGCTTATAGGAAAGGGTTCAGAAATATAGTGGAGTGTTTTTTGGACTAACTCTCCCGGCAATTTTGGCTTTAGTTGTGTATGTGTTTTTTTTTTTCTTTTTCGTTTTTGTTTTCATTTTCATGTTCTTTTATATATTGGAAATAGTAAAGTTTTGCAATTTCAAATGTTTTAAATGCATTTAGAAAATAAATAGGATTTCTTTTCAGAGTTGTTTTTCACTTTTGCGTATTTTTCGAAACGAATTTACAGGAATTGTGTTGAGAACAGTGAGCCACACGAGTATTCATACCGTGTATTGCATAAGGATCGTTTTGATGGGCAAAGCAACCGGATTGTCCAAATTATTGGCCCATTTCAATGTGTTTTGTATGTGTGGGTGTATGTGTGTGTGTGTGTGCCTTTTATTATACGGTAAAATCACCCGCCGCCCAGCTCATTTTGTAGTCGTCAATATTGAACAAGTCAAAAATGTCGCCGGTGGCATTGAATGCATCCACTGTACCACCACCGCTGTCCATGGCATTGCCCATGCCGTTGGCCATGCCCGTTGCTGCCGCAGCGTAGTCGACGTGTCCAACTGCCTGGGGCTGGGTCACCGCCTGCATTATGGAGTTCAGTGTGTTCTCGAAGTCGTCGCACACGTCCATCGGGGTGCTGTTGTAGTGGCCATTTGTGGGGCCGCCGCACTCCACGGCCACCGAAGTGTTGCTATTGTTGTTGCTGTTGCTGTTGGTGTGGCTGTGACTGTGGCTGTTGCTGTGGCTGTTGCTGTTGCTGCCGGCACTGGCGGCCACATGCTGACTGAGCTGTGCCACAAAGCTGTCCGCGTCGAAGTCCACATCGCCGCCGTGATTGTTATTCAAGAGCACGCTGTCCGGACTGCTGGCATCGAGCAGCTCGTTGATGCTGGGCTGCAGACTGGGATTGAGATCGCGTCGCATATTGTTGCCGCCAACGTCAACGCCAACGCCAACGCCAATGCCGTCGCCGCTCTTGCCGGCACAATAGTTGTTCGAGTCGTCCCCAATGTCCATTTCCAGCTGCTGCGACATCAGCTCCAGCAACTCGTACTCATCAAAGTGATTGAGCTTGGCGTCCGGACTATTGGGCTTCTCGCTGGCGCAGCCACTGCCGCTGTTGCTGCTGCACTTGGGCGGCGTGCTGGGCGGCGGTGTGGCATGATGCTGCTCCAGGAATATGTCCAGGGTCTTGGCCACGCTCTCTGCATCGATGGCCGAGCCATCGGGCTGCAGCGGCGAGGCCATATCAATGTTCTCAATGTAACCATGAGCGTTGTTCGCCTGCTGATTGCTGGACGCATAGCTGATGTGATTGTCGTTGGTGTCCATGGCCATGTCCAGGCTGGGCAGCGATTGTGGCGTGGGTGGCGCCTCCAATTTGGGCACCAGCGGCACAATGCTGGCGCCGCCAGCCGCAGTCCTCTGCGTCACGCCGTTGAACATGGCCAGCTCGGGCAATGGCGTCAGCGGCGTTATGGGCTCCAGCGCGGCGCTCTCTGGCAGCTCACCTTGCTTGATTAGTATGTCCAGCACATCGCTGACCTGCTCAGACTTAATGCCCGATGGCTTGCGCTGCATTTGGCATTTGCCCATTGCAGGAGTTGCTGCTGCTGTTGCAATTGTTGTTGCTGCTGCTGGCGCAGGAGATGCAACTGGCTCCTCTTTGATCTTCATTAGCGGCATGCTGTTGCCCATGGCCGCGGCTGCTTTGCTGGCCGCCAGCTGCTTTGTAGCCTCCTCGTACTGCGGTGGCGGCGCTGTGGTTGGCTTTATGTCCAGCTGTATGAGCTGCTGTTGGCCAGGCTGAAAATGTTGCTGCTGCTGCTGCTGGTGCTGTTGCAGTTGTAGTTGTTGCAGCTGCTGCGGCGAAATGATTTGCTTCGAATCAATGGGAAACACAATGCTGGGCAATGAATTTGTGCGCTGATGGCCATTGAGCAGCTTCTTTGTGGCAGATGATGCTGCTGCTGCTGCTGGTTGTTGCTGCGGTGCTGCTGTTGTTGTTGTTGTCGCTGTTAGACTTATGTTGCCCAGCGTGTGCGCCGTCATCTGCTGATCGTTGAGCCCCAGCAGGAATATGGTCTGATTGCCTTCGTTCCAAACGAGACCCAAGTTGTTGGGATGCGCTGCAGCAGCTGTTGCTGTCGTAACTGGCTTCGCGAGCATTATTGTTGATGTGTTGCCGGCAGCAGGCGCAGCAGCAACGGCGTTCGACTGTTTTGTGGGCGTGCCTGGCAGCTTGGATGCGCTATTTGTGGTGTTGTTATTGTTGTTGGATGGAATGAGTACAGTTTGTGTCTTTTGCGTAAGCAAACGCATCTGTTGCTGCTGCTGCTGTTGCTGCTGCTGCTGTTGTTGTTGCTGCTGCTGTTGTTGTTGCTGTAGTGCTGCTGCAGCAGCGGCCGCCTTTTGCTTTTGTATCTTCGCCTCCAGCTGCTGCTTGACCACCATTTTCTGACTGATGGGTGCCGGCTGCTGCTGCCCATTGCTGTTGGCCTGAATGCCGCTGATGTTGGCGGACTTCTTGCCTTGACCGCTGCTGTTGCTGCCGTGCACGCCGTTCAGCTTGCCAGTTGGCGTTACCGTTGCTGCCGGCTTCACGGTCACCTTGGCCGGTATCGTCTTCTCCAGCTGTGGCAACACCGTCAGCGTCTGCTGCGGCCCATTGCCCGTAGTGGCTATCAGCGTAATCTGCTGCGAGGGCAGCGCGTTCACAACCTGCGCGGTGACCGTTTGATGCTGGTGCATGCGCCGTATTTGCTGCAGCTCCTGCTGGGAGCGCTGCAGCTGCCGCTGCAACTCGTCGATTTTGCGCTGCTGCCGACGTAGCAGCTCGTCGTTCTGAATGATGGTGGCCGTTTGGGGCTGGGGCGGCAGAATCGTTTGCAGCGTCATCGCGTGATTGCTGTCCAGCTGCTGCACGACATCCATGTGCTCGTGCTCCATGGTGCTGGCGGGCGACTCGGCCACCAGCATTGCCACTGGCGGCGCCTGCACGTCGCCAACACCACAATTGCTGGTATCCATCGCATCACTAATGGTGATGACCTCTGTGGCAGCTGCTGGCGCGCTGGCTGGCGTGCCACACTCGATGGGCTCCAGGGGCAGGTAGGGCTTTAAGCGCTCAATCAGCTGCGGCTTGGGCCCCGAGACGGGCAAATTGCGTCGCTTCAGATGCTGCTTCAGGTCGGATACCTTCATTTTCTCCAGGCGCGTCAGGTCTGTGATGGAACTGCTGGACTCTGCATAGCTATTGGCCGGACTGGGCGGTATGGAGGAGCTCACCGAGAGCGCTGGCGAAGGCAACGGCGGCGGATGTTGCTGTTGCTGCTGCATAGTGGCCGGGGCAACCGTTGCTGCTGCTGCTGCTGCAACTGCTGTCGTTGGCTGCTGTGTGGCTATCAGCGACAGAGTTGGTGGTGCGGGCGTTGGGGCAGCTGATGACGGTGCCGTTAGCATTGAGGCATCCCCGAATTTCAGCGGCGCATTGCCCGTGGTGCTGGTGATGGAAATGGTGTTGGGCAACGTGAGGGGCGCCGGCGCGGCAGCTGTTGTGATGGATGTGGCCAGCGCAGGCACTGTCTTGGTGGTCACTGTGATGCTGTTGGCTGTGGTGCTGATGGAGCTGTTGGCGGTGGCTGTGGTGGCGCTGGCTGCGGGCAGTATGGATTGGTTCTTGTTGAGGCTCTCCAGAAACTTGAGCAAATAGTTCTGCTGCTCCAGGAGCAGCTGATAGGAGGTCGTCTGATCCGACTGCGCTTGATCCTGGGCTTGGCCCGCGGCGCTGGGTGGTCCCTTATACTCGTGGAATTTGATGGTGCGCGCCTTGGACACCGGCTTCGACTTGGACTTCTTGCGATTCTTGTCCTTGCCAGGCGCATCCGACTTGTTGGACACCGGCTGCAGATGCAGTCGCGTCGGCGGCGGCGGCGGCGATGCAATGGAAGACAGCGGACTCAGTGTGGACGTGCTGGAGCCCAAGGAGCAGGGTGAAGCGAGCATGGGCAGCATGTGACTGCTGGCCGGACTGGCTGTTGGCCCGACCACGCTCTGGCACAGCTCCTCGAACAGATTGGCCGTCTCCTGCTTCACCTTGATGGCACCGCCAACAGGCATGGGCGGTGGTGGTGGCGGCGGTGCACCAACCATATGGCTTGCACCACCACTACCAGCACCACCCATGTGACAATCTGTCGTATTCAGCAGCTGGATGGAGGGCATTACGCTGAGCACCAACTGGCCGCCGTTGCTGGTCGTCGAAGTGGGCGTGGTCAGCGCCACAGTCACAATGCCCGCTGAGGCGGCTGCAGCCTGTAGCATATCCTTGGGCGCCGATGTGAGCGGCTCGGCGGGCACCACTGCACCGCTGCTGCTCGCCGCCGTGGCCGCCGGCATAAGCTCGTCGAGCCGCGGCGGCGTCTGCCGCGTGTCGCTCTCCGAGCTCTGCGAGTCCTCCTCGAAGGTGACATAGCTGTGCGGATGCTGTGGACGCGTCAGCAGGCCCTCACTGGTTGCCTTGAACGGCACCAAGCCCTCCTTGACAATCTTCTCGATGGGCTTCTCCGTATGCAGTATGTTCTTCTTGATGAGCTCCAGGGGACCCGGCCGGTGCTGTATCTGCGAGTTGAGCTGATCCGCCAGGCGCGCCTTCTTCAGCATGCGCTGCTTCTCCGCCAGACTCGGGTCGATGTGGCACTCGTCCTCCTCCAGTATATGCAGTCTCTCGAGATCTTCGCGATTCGGCCGCTGTTGGATTTTGGCCTTCAGCAAATCGCTGGTCTTGGCGCGCTCCAGTTGCTTGCATTGTTCGTGGATGGCGGGCGAGGTTTTGAGCGCTGCGAGTGAGAGGGAGAGAGAGAGAGAGCAAGAGAAATTTCAGTTAAAATACTACAAAATCAACAACTTTGCTCTAGTCTCAGCAAAACTTTCTAGAATAAAGTTGAAATTGTTTATTGAAGCGACGCCTGGAAGGCAGCTTAAGATTATTATTATTTCATTTATTTTTCTCTTTTATTTTACTTATTTATTTTGTTGGCTATGTCGAAAATTTGTCATTTAAATTCAAATTCAAATTCACTTTCGCTGGGCCCATTGAATTGGTTTGTAAATTCGCGTATTTTGTTGATTCTTTTCGACTTTCTTCCGTTTGCATTCGCTCAAGTTTTTGTGGCGTCGCGCATAAATTTGATAAGGAGCCCATTGAATATGCGCACGCATTTGCATATCCTTTTGCCGGGCTCTTACATCTGGCCGGCTGCGGCGCTGAAGCACATAAGTGGCTCAAATGTGTGCTCTCTGCGGCGTCTCTTCAATACTATTCATCGATTTGGCTAGGCCAAAGTCAGATTTCTTATTCTTATACGCAGCGTGGCTCACTTACATGGTATAATGCCCTGTTCGACAAGTTGCGAGTGCGGCCGTCGCACCATCAGCTTCACTTTGAGCGCTGCAAGAGGAGAGAAATAAATAATACAGAATTAAATAAAATAATACAATCATACATTGGCACACAGCGAACGCAATGACAGTTCAACAAGTTGCGGCCACAAATCAAACACCGCAAAATTTCAATGCCCATAAATTAGAGAGTTTGACTAGTCAAAGGGAGGGTGGGGCGGCATTTCGTTTGCACAGATCAAAACAAAAACATAGCCCATAAAAAATGCTCTAAACAGCTGGCCAAAATGCGAACGCTAAAGTTTTCAGCGGGTTTTCGTATTTCTTGACAACCCAAAGCAATAAATGTCGAGCCCAGCAGCACACGGAAACCGAAAAGAGAGAAAAAAGCAGCTGCAAGTGGAAAACAACGAGGCATAAAAAGAAAAACAGCAACAGCAACAACAAATTATTACTGCAAAGCTAACGAAGAAAAAAGACCAGAAAAACGAGAAGCAAAAGTTTTAATATCTTTATGTGCGGTTTGCCTTTGTCGTTGCTGCTGTAGTAAACTTTTTTCTTTGTTGTTGTCGCGTTGTTGTTGTTGTTCTGCTTAACACCAAGGAGAGTGTAAAGTTGGCGCCCTCAAAAATTAAATATTTAAGCCGGGCGTCGAGCGCGACGCTGCCAGCAGCCCACATGCTCAGCCCGGGCGCCATGGGGCGTATGCGTAATAATATGATTATGTGGCAACTGCTACTAAATGACAGATTGATGTCAATTAAGTTGACACAAAGTCAGTCGCCAAAATCTGTGCTGCGATAACAGCACAGCCACACAATGGCCACACAACGGGAATGGGAGGGGGGGGGGGGGGGGGGGGGCAGCCAAAAGCGAACAGACGACACAAGGACAAATCCATTGGAATTGCTTTGATTGAGTTCATGCTAAACGGCAGATACCCTAGCTTACAGAGCCAACCACTGGACTGCGCCTGCCGAATGCTTCAATATATGTTGAGTAAACAGAATTGAAAATGATTTTCAAATACATACGCAGTATACGAATTGTTGACATTCATTGCGCCGCTGTTGACATTAGCGGGAAAACTGCACAAAAGTCTTGTAATTAAAACGAATTCGTTCACATTAAGTCTGTGGACTGGAGCCAGCACAAAGCCAAAAACCACAAATGAAATGAAAACAGAAATCTTATGGCTGCAGCGGGCCACTGGACGGTGTGTGGCCTGCTGGCCTGGGGTTTGGTGGCTGCGGTCACAGCTTTGCAGTCAAGGGCAACCGCATGGAATGCCAAATGCACTGCAGACTTTATTTCATTTGCTACATACTTTTCGGGCATCGGGTTAACGCGGTTAGACATATGCACGTATTTATTTGCAAGCATGAAAAGATGACGCCGAGGGCGAGGGCAGGCGGCAGCCAGCCGGGGCAACACTTGACGCCACAACAAAGTCGCACAAGTGACGACGCCAGCGACATCAAAGTGAGATGCTGACGATGACGTTATTATAGTAATTTAGGCTCTTGGAAAATCATCATAAAAATTAAAAGGAAAAGAACAAGAACAAGAACAAACATATATTGGCGAGCTGCGAAACCGAGGAGCTGCCAAGGCGCGTAATTGTCTCGCGGGAGGGCGCTGGCAGCTGTTGGCCAAACGGTCGCCCGATTTTTTATGATTGAAGTGTACGAAACAAAAAGAAAGATGGCGAGAGAGCCGTCACTTGCTATCTCGCTCGCATCGCTTTGTTGTGTTGTTGTTTTCATTATGGCAAATATTTGAGCCGTGTTACACGGCTAAATTCAATTTTGGTGACGAAGCCAACGATTGCGCCGTCTGCCAAATTAATTACGCTAGCAATTTATTCTTGGGTTTTTCATCTGCCTTTTCTTATGGCCGTTTCATCTCCCACTTCTTCTTCTTCTTTTTCTTTAGCATCATCTCAATTTCTAAATGAGCGCTGCTCTGCTGCTGCTCTGTTTACGTGTCGATTTTACACCTACACACGCGATTGATAAAAACAATAACAAAATTCCAAATTAAACACATAAAAGTTTTTATGCGTTAGCAATAAAAGTGTAGACGTAGCCAAATCGTTCTTAATATTGTTGTTGCTGTTGCCATTGCTGTTTCTGCTTCTTCTTCTTCTTCTTATTATTGATGCTGTTGTTGTTGTTGTGGGGGTGGGTGGGTTGCCCTTCTGCACGGAGGCCCAGTTCCACGGACGAAGGTCAGGTAAACAAAGCAAAAAAGTTCCCCGAGAGCGAGATGAGTGCGGCAACAGCTGGCTGACCGCACATACATAAATATATATAAAGGCACGTATATACAATATATATGTATGTACGATACGATACGATAAATACATGTATTTGGTATTATAAAATCGATTACGTGATCAGCGGCAGCGCCTTAGCCAAGACGCCATCAGCGTGGGCCAAATCAATGAGCAGGCGTCGGCCAAGTAAACCAAAACATTAACAGCACCGCCAGCACAGTGGGCCGACTATGCGAAATACGTTGTCTAAATATAAACAATAAGTACATATTATTTAAGAGCTATTAAGCTTGACGAGGGCGCCTTCCCATCGTAACCGCAGACCCGACTATGCGAATATACTATTACTAGAATTTATTTAAATCTGCAAATACTATTTAGTTACGGAAATCATGTTTCGCTTGCCAAATTTCATAAACAGCTCATATGCACAAATATTCGCTGCAGCGCCTTGAACCACTGTGCGCTGGCATTTTACGCGCTGTTGCCGCTGCCGCTGCGGCGACTGTTATTTCCGCCTTGGCGTTTGCCTGCAGCATTTACAGAATTTACAGCCACAGCCACAGCCACTCGCTTAACATGGCTACCTCGCGCCCTCATCTGCTTCACAGCCTCGCCTCCGCTTCCACTCTCACGCCCCCCCTGGGCCAAGCGCTTTAAAGTCGCGTGCAGCGTGTTTATTTGTCAAAACATTTTTGCAGCGCCTTCGCCGCCTGCGCCTGGCCGCCATCTGTTTATAATAAATTTTAGTTGCAAATTGCAAAATGTTTACAGTGGGGCAACAGCAGCAGCAGCCATTGCTGTTTGGCCTTTTTTTTTTTTTTGCTCAACGCTAATATGCAGTTCATGTTTATTTGTTAGATAACGGTTTTTGGGTATGTGTGTTTGTGTGTGTGTACTTGCCTGCCGGAAATTTGGGCTGGCCATTGGTTTTGGCAGTTTATATGACTATTAATATTGCCAAAAAGCTAAATAAAAAGCTAGCACAGAGGGATAGGGATAGAGAGAGAGAGAGAGAGAGAGAGAGAGAGAGAGGGGGAGAGTGCATTGCGAAATGCTTGCAAATAATTGGCGCCTTTTGTCAGGGTCAGGGTGTTGTGAACTTTTCGCTAGGGGTTGGGGCTATTTTGGCCATTTTGGCAGCCACTAAACACCGACAAAAATGTCAAAATGCCAGCCAAGCGCAGGCGACAAGAGCTGTCAAAACTATTAGCGGCTATGCGAGACACACACAGACAGAGAGAGAGAGGGAGAGAGATATACACTCAAATATAGATTTACACATATATATGCACATATTCAGGCCATTCAAAACGAATAAGATTATTTCTCTTCACTCAAAATGCCAAGCAAATATGTAGGCCAAATAAAAGGAAAAAATCTGAAGAAGAAAAAAATTGAAAAACTGTTGACAATTTTCTGTATGCCTGGTTCGGGCCATGAATGAGTTTCTCTGTTCAGTTGCAGTGGGCGCATTGGCTGATGGGCGTGGCACAGCATGTGCACGCCTTAAGTGCCTGCGGCGCACTGACAGCTTCATTAAGACTTTTGCCTCCAAGTCGATAATGAGCAAGAGATGATGATGCTGCTGCTGCTGCTGCTGTTAATGATGAGGCAGCCTCTGTTGGTCAGCGTCAACAACAACAACAACAACGACAACATCGACGCCAATGTATGACTAAGAAAAGCCAAAGCGAAATATAATAAAACAAAACAAGCTGACAAATGTCAAACAGCCGCAAGTTGGTTAAAAAACGTGGGCGTTTGCACCAAATATGTAAACACGAAACGAGAGTGAAACAAGCTAACTAAGGGCCAAGTCTAAAGAGCGACTAAGTTAGAGATCTTTAGGCATTGCTTCTAGGTTAGCTAATGTCTCTAGTGCTGTACTCACATTCTTTATTCTTATCCATGGCCGGCTGTAACGGACTAGAGTCGACAATGGCCTTTGGCGGTGATTGTCGTGGATCATAGCAATCGGAATTGTTGCCATCATCGCTGCTGCCCAGAAACGTCGCCTCCAGACGCTGTTCACCTGTGGCGAGTGAATAAACAATTGTTAGCCAATATTAATTAATCAGATCATAAATCATCTTTATATACCTTCCGACATATCGTCGTAGGCGTCGTGCAGGAATATTATATCCTGAAAGGTATGCTCCAAGGCCTTGCCGCTGAGCCGTGTGGCCAGCAGGCCGTTGCAGGTGCCGCTCGAGATGAGCTCGACGGTGGCCAGCGGTGATGACGAGATGGTGGCCAGCAGCGATGAGCCGCTGCTGCCACTGCCACTGGCGCTGCTGCCGCTGCCGCTGCTCAGACTATGCAGCGAGGCGGACTTGACCAGCTGGCCAACCTTGGGGCTACTATTGTGCGTCTTTTGTGTGGCCTTTAGTGTGCGTGTCAGGCTCTTATTGGGCGACGTCGATGTCGACTTGTTGAGCAAACGTTGAGCCGTCGCTGCGCTAACCGACTTGGAGCTGCAGTTGGAACTGTTGCTGCTGCAGCTGCTCACGCTACTGATGCTGCTGCTGCTGCAGCTGCTGTTGGATTTCTTGGAACAGTTTGAGCTTATGGATGAGGCGGGCGAGGCGGATGACGAACAGCTGCTTAGTATGGTCGATTGCTGCTGCTGCGACTGCTGCTGTTGTTGGAGTGTATTGTTGCTGCCGTTGGCTGATTTGGTATCGATGCTTATGGGTATGTTGCTGTTGGCCACCAGCTTCTGCTGCTGCTGCTGCTGCTGCTGCTGCTGCTGCTGCTGCTGTTGATTCTGTGGTGTTTGTGGCTTGTTTGCTGTTCCTGCGGCTGTCGCTGCTGCTGCTGCTGCTGTGGCGCCTGATGGGCTTTGAAACCAACTGGGAAAGTTGCCTTTGAGCGTATCAATTAGATCCTGATCGAGCGTTAAACGCCACGATGCAGGGCCGCCGTCCACGCTGTGCGTAGACTCTGTAAAAAAACAAACGATATATAAATGTTAATTGATTTGCTTACATGAAATATGCGACGTATACGTAATATTTAATTCAGAGCTTGGAAATATTATTTTTATTATAAATTGTAGCTATTTTAGTGCTATTATCTATTGAGCTATCGCCTAACCCACGCAACTATTGTACAGAACTTGTCTCTCATAAAGACAATTATATATATATATATGGTTATATATTTAAAATATATTTATTTATTTATTTAGCCGCACTGTTGCGCACTTATTTATTTTAATGTTCACCCTTTGGCGGCAAAGCCAATGACGCAGCTGCCCGTGTGCTAGTTATTTGTGCTAAGCACTGCCAAGTAACCTACTTAGTGGTGAATACGCCCAGCCACCCCTACACCCAGCACCGCCCCCGCGCAGTGAAAACTTAGCAACGCGCGTACTTGGTTGTTCTTTTCTTCTTTTCTTTTTTTCATTTTCTTGTCAATTTTGTATTTTTTTCTCTCTGCTTTTCTTTGCAATTTTTTTTTTTGTTTAGTTTCTGTTAATGCTTCTTTGCCTTGTGTTTATTTACGCACTTGTCAATACTTGTTCTTCAATGTAACATATTTAATAAACTGACTAGGTGTGCGTGTGTGTGTGTGTGTGTGAAGTAATTGTAATAGCTGTAAGTGCGCTGAAGTTTTTGGCACTGACCGTTATTGCATCAGGCGAGCGCGACATTCCCAGACGCGCCCCAAGTTATGCAACAGTTTGTCAACATTTTTAGCTCTGTCCGCAAATAGAAACGTCGCAAACAGATGAACAAATACCGTTTTCATCCACCCTTTGCCAACGAGCTGTGCATTGGACTGACATGCACTTGTCAAATGTACCATTTTGGCTGAGCTCCTCTTCTTTGCCTCTGTTATTTTTGGCAATTGCTCGTTTCAGTTAGTTCTATTAATAGCGAAAGGTTTCTATTTACTCAGCTATTCTGCTAGTGAATGGAGCTATATTTAGACAGCCGGCAGCAGCAGCTCGAGTTTGTTGGTTGCGCAGTTAATTCCAAATCTCTCTACATAATTCACTTGCCACATTTATTGTTAATTAATGTGGGGCGCCACGGCAAGCCGTTGTTGCAACAGAGCAAAACAAAGACGGCCGAACACGCACACGAGCACGCATACGAACAACAATAGAACAATAGAATACAAGAATCTACGATAGACACTTGCCGCAAGCGCTGCACCACGCGACGCCTGTTTCCGCTTGGCAGGCATCAACGTCGCCATCAGCTGCCCCAGCCCCGCTGCGTGGTCCTGCCTCAGCCCAGATGTGAGTGGTGCTGCCGCTGCCGCTGCCGCTGCCGCTGCTACTGCCGCAACATAGCTTTGATGCTCGCTCGCTCATTGGCGCGACATGTTGTCCACACGCAGCCAACACAAAGCCATTGCCAATTCTATTTTTGTGCAGCCAGCCAGACACTAGCCAAAATGCAAGTGGTTTGTTTTGGTCTCAAATCGCTCCAAGTCGCATTCAACAGACGCGAACGAGACACGAGTGCAGCTGACAACACCTTGTCCATCAATATGCAATGCCAATGAGGCGTATGCGCAACGTTTATGTCAATACAATTCAAACTCAAACTCAAATTCACATTTATATAACATTCATGTCGTCAGTTCGAGCTCATTTCAGTTCCTGTGCTCTTAACTGTCACGTCAATTTGAATAAATCTGGAAATCGATACATAACTGTATTTCACACCTCAAAAATAAATAAATCGCTGGGATTTATTCAGCTCGATCATGGCCGAATCCCCGGAGCGCGGCAGCAAGGAGAACGTACCCGAAGCAACCAGCAAGGAGGCAGCCGGACCCGAACAGGCGGTCAAGGAGAAACCAAAGGCCAAAGAAAAGAAACCTAAAGATGAAGAAAAGGGCCGCCCATCGATGGGTGCGGCATTAACAGCGGCAGCAAAGCCCGCCCCGCGCTATGCGCCCACCTACCGCCTGGAGCCGAAGAATCCCATGAAACAGGAACGCCTCGAGATTGTTGTTAAGTCCGAAATGAATAAGAACTATGCCGATGACTACACATTCCATCCCAAGTACTCTCTGCACATGGCCGCCCAGGTCGCCGAGGACATTAAGGCGCGCATCAAGCTACTCAATTTCGATCGATATCGCTATATAGTGCTGATCACCGTAGGCGAATATCTAATGCAGGGCCTCTACTCGATGGCCAACTTCCTCTGGGATGCCGAAAAGGATGGCTATGTCAACTATACCATTGAAACGCCCAACTATTTTGCTGTCTGCACTGTGTTCTACATATACTTTGACTAGATGGATTGCTGAAATCGAAGGGAGCTTGCATAGTTTATATGTAAAATACACACACACCCACACACACACGCACATTCAATTATAGATTAAGGCTTGCAGCTTCAAGTTGTCTATTAGTGTTGATTTAGAGCAGACTGAACCACGTTCGACATGGCTCATAAATTGCGTACCTTTGCTGACGTTTTATTTGGGTACACTATTATCGCACATAAGCCAGGCCAAAGTGCTAGCCCGTTGGCAGTCAAGTCGTAAATTTTATGGCCACAAGCAACAGTCCTTTTGGCCAGCTAGCCAGCCAACGGCTTTCGACTGTCCATGCACAAAACTAATCATTCAAAACGCAACGGAAGTTGCGGCGGAAATTGTGGCAGCTGTTAGCATCGCTCATTCTGTTGCTCTCGCTCTGTGTGTGTGTGTGTGTGTGTGTGAGTGAGTGCTTGCCTATGCTGTTGTTGCTGCTGCGCTGTAAACATCAATTATGTATGCTCTGGTGTATGCCAGCAGCTATACAAGAAGCCAAGGCGCGCCCGCAAAGTATGCTATGCTGGGAGCAACACTTCAGTCTAGTTGTTTCAACGTGTGTGTGTTTGTGTGTTTGTGTGTGTGTGCCCTGTCTCTTTCTGTGTCTGCGGCTGGCACTTCCTCTCGGCAACAGGAAACAGGATGCTGTTAATGTTACAATTCGACATAATCGATGCTTGTCGTACGAGACTCGCATTTAACCTGGCAATTTGTCGGTTGCATAAACATTAAGTTTTATTTGCAGTTTATCTGCACGTTGCCACTGCCCCACCGCCAGCGCTGCTAGTGGCGAGCATAAATCAAGCTGTGGCAGCTTTAACAGCTAGGCCAACTTTATGGCACATTAAATTTCAAGACACCAACAACAAATAAGAAGCCAAACAGAAACAGAAATTGATTAAAAAAATGCAAAACGTGCTAAACGCTGACCTTTATAGCAACGTGACGTGGCGAATTGTTGATTTGATTTTTATCTCTTTGCCTGTGTTTGTTAGCTGCTTATATGTGTATTTTTTATTGTAAAACAATTTACGCGACGTTTACATATTCATTTGAATGCCAATAGCAGATGCAGCAGCAGCAGCGGCAGTGGCAGCGGCAGCGGCAACATTGCTGACAGGTTCGACAAGCGAGGATTATGCAAGCGCCACAGCTCGTGAATAGAATTCGACAGAACAAAATTCAAATATATCAAAGACAACAACAACAGCAGCAGCAGCTAAACGCCATGTGTCGCTGTGTTTGTATATGTAGCCACAATATGTACTACAATATTCAAACGTATATTTGTAAACAATATGCAGACGTCATAGACAGAACTCATTTAAGAAAAAAAAACCAAACAACAACTAAAATATACATATATAAATATTAGACAGTAAAAAAAGTACAGAGCCAAGAAGCGCACAGTTCAACAGCAACAACAACTGCTTCTCCCTCTCTCTCTCTCTCTCTCCCTCTACAATATTTGTTTAATTTTTGGTCATAGCGCTGAAAACTTGTTTAACTACAACGACAACGAGTTGTCTCTAATACTATAAAATTTATATAGATATTTAATAACAATCTATTTTTTTGTTGTTCAATTTTTATAGTTTTAATATGCAGCGAGTTGTTATTGCCTTATTGGTGCGTTCAGAGATTTCGCATGTTATCGCAACATGACAAGTGTCAGCGATATACGCCAAAAGGGGGGGAGCGCGGGCGAGCGGGGCAGCAGAAAAATATCAAATATATATTCTATAAAATATTAAGAGCAGCAGCTAAATCGAACAATTTGACAAAACGTGTTAGTTATGGACACGCGCAATGGAAAAACAAAAAATAAATAAATAAATAAACAAACTAAACTCGAAAAAAAAATCAGCATTGAAAAATGTTTTTTTAATTTTGAGCAGAGCTTATCAGAGAACTGTGAGTCACAGCTGCTAAATAAAAATAAATTATACATATATATATCTGCTTGCTATATCTAGCTAAACTTACTTCAGCTCTTACTTGAATATCTATAATTCATATGCACAAAATTTCGTTATTTATGTATTATTATTATTTACTTGTTTTTGTTTACTCTTCGAGCTATTTCGCACTCTCTTTGTACTCAGCTTATCTTATCAATACACTCTTATTTTTTTGCTATTTTGTATTTCGGTTCTTAAGTAAGCGATTAAGTTAAGACTTTTGCGAAGTGAATCATGGCGCTGCGCTTTATCAGTTTTGATTGGCAAGTCGAGACGGAACGCGGAGCGCGAATATTTTTTGTTGTCCAACGTGGAGAGCGCGCACCGGCAAACTAAGTTAAATCGAATCGAGTGTCGAATCGAGCGTCAAACAGCAACACGTTTGTGGAACCCGAGCTGCTGACGGTATGACGTGTACGGCTGACCAACTGACTGAGTGACTGACTGAAGGTGCTCGAGGTGCTGGAGATGTTTGAGGTGGGCGTCGACTATCGATAGTCGACTTAACTGGCATTATGAGCGCTTCTCTTTCCGATTCTCACTCTCACTATCTCTAGCTCTGTGTGGCTCTCTTTTAATTTAAACAACATTTTATGCTGTTGACATATTCGCACTGATTGATGGCACACGGCTGAGCAAACAGTACGCCGAGTATTGAAGGAAATCTGAGAATTGTAGAATTGACAAATGCCACAACACAATAGCCGGTTAATAAGCGAGCACTGCACAAGTACACACGCACACGCACACACACACACACTACTGCACACTGTTGCAGCCGAAATTGAATTAAAGCTGTTTCAGCTGCGTTTACTGCATGCAAATGAGTTGTGGGCAACAGTCAACGCCTGCGGCTGGCCAGTCGCTTCGCTTCGTGCTACCTGACCAAACAATTGCAGTACAACAAAAGTCATTTGGACTCACACACTCACTGGCTCACTCTCCCTCTCTGTCTCTCTCTCTTACTCTGTCTGGCAGCATGTTTTGCATACAAAGCGGAGGCCTGTAATGACGCCAACTGCCAGTCCAGTGCCTGTCCAGGATGTGATGCCTTATTGTAGCACTTCGGGCACAATGCGTATTGTGTGTGCTCTTTGTGTATACCATACGTGGGTGTATGTGTGAGTGTGCGTATGTGTGTCTGCGTAGCGTTTGTCTGATAAGTTTTCAGTGGCATTAGCAGTGTCGGCCCGAGCGAAGTTCGCTTCAAGTTTATTTATGCAAGACAAACTGCTGCTTTAATGCACCAAAAGTCTTTGCAAATCGAACCAAAATATTGAAACAATTTAATATGCCATCAATTAAGCTCATATTTATCATTCACTACGCTAGCAACTAGTAAATAAATATTCTGTCAGTTTTTACTTTGTTATTTATTTTTGGCAAGCCTCTGCACTGAACTTTGCTCAGGCGAAAATGTTTTGTTCGACTTCCTCGTTACGAGACATACATATGTATGCATATATACTATATGTGTGTATATCTTGGATATATAGTTTATACCTTTATGTTGTGAAAATTTGTTTGACAGTCTGTAAACAACATTTGCAAATACATAAACAAATCAAAAATTTATCAATTAGTTTTGGCTTTGCCAATAACAAATCAAAATTTGATTTGATTTGCTATGCATGGAATGTGCTAAGGCGCCTGCTGATGCCTGTTGCTACGGATCAGTGGCTAGAGGGCTCATGGATTGCGACATTGTGTTAATTGTCTGCCCGTTTCATGGCCTGGCGACTGCTGTTCCGGCCCACGAGCAGCATATAAATAGGACATGTGTGTGTGTGTGTGTGTTTGTGTGTATGTGTCCTCAATTAAAATTAATTATGCCCAAACGATACGCTCAATAAAAATTTAATTTGCAACAAAAATAAAGAGTCAAGAAAATGTGAAACATAGACAAAATTTGACATTTAAGTGCTATGTAACACACACACACACACGCACACTCATACATGCCCAATAATTGAAATAGAATTTTCAATGATAGAGCAGAACAAACACACTATATGACGATGTCATCCCGTCGTCTCCGTTGTTGTTGCTAGCCACCCGCACGAGCATTTTGGCAAAACTATTTTTAATCAAGTGCACACGTTGGTTGCTTTTGGCAACTGCACCAAATCAAAAACACAAACACACACACAGACACAGACACACACAGGCACGCACAGTATGCTACATTCATTTTGTGGGCTGGCATCGACCGGATGCTGTGTGGGCGTGACCAGGCAGGCCAACAAACAACAACTGAACGCCCTTTACCAGCAGCTCTAACGAGCTCTTCGCTCCAAAGTGTAAGTGTCTCAAGTGGGCGGATCCAAGTAGAGAACAATAAACACTTGGCCGGAATATGTTCTGCATTTAGTTTTTATCAGATCAGGCGAGAAGCACAAATTAAAAATAAATTGGGGGGGTATAGCAACAACAACAACAGCAATAAAGACTAGAGCAAAAAAAAATCAAAAGTGTAAAATTCAACTTGTTGGCTCGGTGATCCTCTTCTTGCCTCTGCTATGGCAACGGCCATGTTGCGTGCCAAGTGGAAAATATTTCGCAAGTTTTTCTACATGAGTACCATAGTTGTTGCTGTTGTTGTTGCCGCTCTACACATTTAGTTATTGTGCGAAAAGAAAAGCAAAAAGGAAAAACGAAAAAAGAAGAAAATAGTGGAAATGCTAGAGAGCAGACATTGTGCGACTAGCCAGCCGGGCAGGCAGCGTCTTGTGTTTAGGTTTTGTACATTTAATTTGGCATTGTTGTTGCTCTAGCCGGCTAAACAATAAAAAAGCATAATAAGCAACAATAACAGCAACAGCAACAACAACAACAACAATAGCACTGCTCTGACTAGAAGAAGCATGAACATTTTTTGGCAAACAATTCAGGGCTAAATATTTTGTTTATGTGTTTTTATCACACACACACACACACACACACACACACGCGTCGGCAACAGAGCGCAGCATTCAAAGTTTCTAAAGCAAACCAACAACAGCAACAACAACAATAATCAAGAAATGTTGTGGGCGGG